TCAGCACCTGGATCGGAATCTCAGTTCTGTCCGTCGTATTTTGATCAAGCCTATACAGGCTTCCGGTAACCGCGGCCACCTTCTGTCTTCTGCTAGTCCAGGACCTCAAGTCCTGCCCAGCCCGGATTACCAGGGGCCGTCCTGACCAGACCACATCCTCATTTTTCACGGTCTGCAGACAACCCAGGTACGGGAACCGCTGTTGGACCCTAAAACGACACCCCAGAAAACTCCAGGTGCCACCCCTGTCGTCTGTCCTTTTTAAGGTCAGATTACGGGGTGAAACGTTTTCACCTGTCAGCAGTAGTGAGTGCAGATCCCAGGGCTCGATCCCTAGTCTTCACCTTACCTGTGTACAGTATCTGTGTTGACCCCGAGTGTTTGAACTTTGAAACCGTGACCTGTGTTTTGACAGTTGTTGTTGTCCGTCGTAGGTCAGTGTAGGGGTAGGGGTTGGATCTGTAGACCTGTCGGATAGGAGTCCTAGTAAGTCGTAGCTTTAGCCTGTCCGAAGGGTCAAGGTCGTAGCTGCTACAGTCCTGAAAGGTCAAGGTCGTAGCTGCTACAGTACCGAAAGGCCAAGTCTACAGACTTCCGTCGGAATCTCAGTTCTGTCCATCGTATTTTGATCAAGCCTATACAGGCTTCCGGTAACCGTGGCCACCTTCTGTCGTCTGCTAGTCCAGGACCTGAAGTCCTGCCCAGCCCGGATTACTAGGGGCTGTCCTGACCAGACCACGTCCTCATTTTTCACAGTCTGCAGACAACCCAGGTACGAGAACCGCTGTTGGACCCTAAAACGACACCCCAGAAAACTTCAGGTGCAACCCCTGTCGTCTGTCCTTTTTAAGGTCAGATTACGGGGGTAGCACCGTTCGAATTTACTCCTCAAAAGCTTCGCGTGTTTGTAGGAATCCCTGTCTCCCTGCTTGTAAGCGAAAAACAACGACACATTGTCAACTAATCGTATCCCTACCAACCAAGCTAGCGAGCCTACTATGGCTCATAACTTTCAGGGCAGTCCCAGTCAATCTATGGCTATCACAAAGAAGAAGAAAAGAAAAGAGAACAAAACAAGCGGCATGGTGGCAGGTATGCAATACACAAACCGACGAATCCCTCAACCACTGCTTTATGGACTTTGTAAAAGCCAAACGACTGTGGCAAGACATAGAAACAACTTGGAGCAAACTTTCCAACAGCAAGATAGTAATCAACCCTGCTACCCTTTTCCTAGACAAAGAACAACCCCCCCCCTTAAAGGATTTGAACTCTTCCTCTTTCGCTAATCAGGAAGGGCACACTATGCACAATCTGGAAAAGGAGATGTGCAGCAAACTTCAACGACACCAGCATCGAACCCGAGAACCCCCTGATCACCATCAAACAAATCATCAAAACAGAAATACAGGCTTTATGGAACAAAACAGAAAAACAGTTTCAGGAAATACCAGATAAAAGAACGGAAATCATMAGGAAATTCACGACCACAAGGCTAGGCAACGGTAAACTAGGCTCAATTGAGAGAGAGAGATTAGTCCTTAAGGATTGGCTAGTCATACCAGCTCAAGGTGATCACGAGCCGATAACCTCCCTAAGGACAACACCAACCCCTTCTCCAGACAACTCCAACACACTCCCCAATCAAGTAGCAGATCAGAGGATCTGAGTCCGAAGGGCAAATCTCAAGCCAAGCCCACAACAAGATCAAGACAACACAATAGGGTCCACACCAAGGCACCCCCCAACATAGAACCTCCCCCTAACAAATCCACCACCCCCTCATCCCTGGGGACACCCAGACAACCGAATAACCACTAAAAATATGGACACCTATTAGAAAGCAACCGCCCACCATAATTCCACATTCGGACCCACACTAAAACCCTCCCAAACACAGAGATATCCTTATCTGCCGCCCTCCAATCCCCCTGAAAACTCTCCCCATCTCCAATCCCAAATTGCCCGAAACGCCCACTAAAACCCTCACCCCCAACTAAAGCCCACAAACGACAAATCCCAACAAAACATCTTCGCCCCCACCCCCTTGCATCCGCATACATTCTCCACTCCCAGCTATCAGGAAAGACAGCCTATTCGACAGTCTCGAACAGAGCTAGTCTCAACCCACAGCTACCCAAGAATAACAGGCCAGGAAGCAAGGTTTCATCAAGGCCTAAGACAATAGGGCTAAAAGAATGAACGTCAAGTGAACCATGAAGTTGGGCAGGATAAGAACTATTAGTTCACAGGGATTACCCCTCAGAGAAGGTTCAGGGTTTATGGTTCAGGAATAGCACATGTTTTCCTTGTTCGTCCTAGGAAATGGGTGAAACAAGATAGTCTGACAACCGAGGGTTTAAGGATCAGGGTTTAGGGTTTAGGGTTTACACGGAAATAAAACAAATAGGAAGGGTGAGACCTCAAAGAAGATTATAGGGGCCCCAGAACGCTCTCGAATAACACACCTACCTGACAGTTTCACAACTGAGAGGAGTAGAACTGCGACCAGACGGATTGGTAGGCAATATTAGCAGAGGGTAACTTAGGCAGGGGTGAGAGGTGGTACATCCTTCCAAAAGGAAGTAATCAATGCCGTCTACTCAGGCCTCCCAGCCATAATGGGGGGGAGCGTGTGTGAGTCTCTTATGTATTCCTAATTGACTTGCCGGGGGAAAGGAACCGGACTGTCGCTCCCCAGAATGGTAGGAGCCAGAGCCAAGAAGCTCTGTTATTTGGGAAAAAAAAAAAAAAACAGTGTATCCCTACCACCAGCTTCCGGTCCCACCCCAAGGTGCACAAGAACTGCCACTCGGCAAAAGCCCACTAGGGGCGGGCTTGTGATTTTCCCCATCGACACTCCAATCCGTTGTTTCAGCACGACACCTGATGCCATTGTAACCGTGTGTTCAAGATCAAATTCTACAAAGTGCCGAATCTCAAACAGACTCACAGCCCACCAATTCACATTTGCCTTTGAATCGAAAGCGGCCCCTTTCCCTCTCGGATTCACTCTCACCACCTCTCTCCCCTTTCCCTCATGCATCCCAATCAGGCAATCGATTGCTGCCATTATGTCCTGGTGCGATAAGCGACAAAACATATCCCTGACATCGTATGATGTCGAAAGGATCCGCGTTGGGTCCTAAACTCTTGAAGTTGTTGTTTGCTTTCCTCAACCTATCAGCCAAACAAGAAACAGCCTGTAGGTTGAAGTGCTCATCCTCACGCACTGAGGTCAGCAACAGATTCAGCGCCCTGGCTACTCTCTTACTCGTGGCATTCATGGGCTCACGGAAAGTGGGACATATCGGGCAAAAAAGGCTCAGATCTCTTTGCTTCGGAATGATGTAGCTACTTTCCTGCTCCTCCCGACATCTTCCATTTCCCGAACTGACCCAACCCAACCTGCGCGTATTCCTCATAACTCTTCCTCCAGTATTCACCATCCGACTGAAGGACCATCCTAAAACCCTTGTTCCTGACGAACATCTCCTGCATGCCTTCGTAATAAACTAAAGGGCACATAATGCACGTCTCCCCTGGGTTTCTATCCACCGGAATGAACACCAAACCTTTATACTTTTCTCTCACCCACATGACCTCTTCTATTCTCAATTACCCTTCAATACTTTTTGTTTCATTCAAGCAAGACACAGTATCCTCCAAATCCACTCTCACAACGGTCCTCTTTCCCAGTTTCCATCGTCCAAAACCCTCCTCAAACTACCCTTCTTCTCGCTTTGAGGTACGTTCATAGGGTTTTTCGTCAGCAGTGGTACATCCGGCAAATCACCCAATCAACATCGTACATGACCGCCAAATCTCGGGAGGTCAAAGCCTTTACAGTCGCAGGCTACAACCTCACGGGAGGCATAATCCCTATGGTTGTGCAGTAAGTCGCCGACAGAAGGGTTCTTTGTCCAGCTGATCCGCGACTTCCGCTTCAGGATATCCTTCGTACATGACGGCAGTCCCAGCTCAGCTTTCGTACGATACCCAGGTTCACATGGTTATCAAAGCGAATCTTCACCACCAGCCTTCTTTACAGATTCACGTCGTTTTTTTGCTTGATTGCTCCGAATAGTATTCTCCTTAGTAAGCTCCGGGTTGCTTTTCTCGAAAATTCTTTAGCGGCTCCCACCAGCTCTAACAACAAACGTAAAGGAAGACGCACAACTTCCTTCCTTCTTTCCGGGAACTTCAAGAGCACAACCAGGGCTCCTTTCTGCCCCCTGCACTTCTTCTCCCATTTCCGTAGTCGCCAAATACTCACTTCTCCTCCCTGCTCGATTAGCAATTTACAATCCGCAGCTTCACCACCTTCCCATAAATCTGCACTTCCGTTTCCCCGAACAACCTTCTAACCTTCGTCCATGCGTCACCCCATTCATTACCTCCATGACTGTAACACGTAAAACATACATTCCCTGTTTTCCACTGATCTCCTAGCAGCTTCACCAAACCCGCAGTCCTCTTCTCGCCTAATTGAAAATTTATCAGTTCGACTGGTTTGGTATTCGGCTCAGTTACCTTTTCTCGGTTCTTTAATCCCTTCCCACGCTCCTTCCTCCCTCTTCGCGTCTTTCTTGATCCCGATCCAGTCGACCTCGCTCCATAAACATTTCACGTCGGAGACCACTTCTTAATGATAGCTCCTCTGGATCGGCCTTGACGATCGGAATCAATATGTATTTATGCTCTCCAAACTTCCTCATCCATCGATGAAAGTGTGCAGCCCCCACTGATTCCTGCACACTCTTGTACATGTGTCCTACCCATCTAACATCCAACGCTTTTCCAGTACGCCCTATGTAAATCGACTTACATACTGTTGAGATCCCAACATACATGCACGATAGCAGGTTTTCCAAGAAATCCCCGTTTTTTGTGCCCAACGTCGCCCACCCATCGATAAATTTCTTAGCCCACGGTATACATCCCAACAGTGTCAGGGAAATTACTACCGGTCTGAAAGCTGCCTCGAACTGACGACTAACGCCCTTAAGCTGCCTTTGTTCTTCTAGCAGGTCACCACACTTTCTCCATAACTTCTCAATCTCCTGTTGTCTTCACTCTGATGAGGATACCTCCGAGTTTTCGGCCGATTCATCTGAGTCATTTCCACTTGATTCTTCCTTCTTCTCTTTCTCAACCGCTTTCTCCCCCTCAGATGCTTCGCTTCCAGTTCGATCATATGCCAGCATGGCTCTTTTTTCTACCAGTGCTTCCACTGCTTGTGATTTCCTTACATACGGAATGTTCTCCATCTTGCACATCCTCTGGATACCCTTGTAGTCCATTCCATCAAGGTAGGCTCTCGTATCCTCCACGAAACGGGTTCTTGCTCCTGGATCCGAGCTGGCACTCGCTCCCTTCTTCGTCGGGTCAGACTTCATTCTCATTCCCAGCATTGTCATAAGCTTCAGGCCCATCTTCATCCTCTTCGCTGAACCCTTAGGCCCTCCTCGTCCTCGCTGCCTTGTCTTGACCAGGGACGGACGTGTGGACAGCGATTCCCCATCGCTCGTCTCCCGCTTGCATTTTTCCACACTCAAACATAGCTTCGCAGTCTTACACGTATCACCTCCACATCGTCATCAGATATCGCCCAGCCATCAGGTATATACGGGATCCTTTGTGGGCGCCATCTATGTGCCCTTCGTTCACGTCTGCTAAACTTTGGTACTTCCACAGGCATTGCACTAGGAGGACGTCCCCACTGCGCGAGCTGCGTCTTTACTATAAGTGCCAAACGCTGCTCATTCTCAACACACTCTCTTTCTTTCCTTCCCTCCGCTTCTTTCCTTCGTTTCTCTTTAAGCTTCTCTTCCCTTTCGGCTTTCTGTATTTCTTCTTTCTCCTTACGCTTTGCTGCTTTTGCCTCTTCTTTCGCCAGCAGTAGTGCCACCAAGTTTTTTACCCCTGATGATTCACCTTGGTTCTCCCTTCCCTGTGACGTAGACGACGACCCTTTCTCCCATCGCCTTGTCGGCGATACCGAGCTTTTCGCACGGCCCTGCTCGCTCTGCGCGGGACTGTTGGACTGGATTGGACTTCTCTTGTCAGGTACCAGACTGATTTTCATCGACCTGTGATGTTTCGGTACCGACACCTACCAACCTACGACGCTTTAGCCTAGGGACCCGATGACCTACCCTATTGGGACACCCTGGAACCTCGGCCATCTGGGACCATTTCGGACCCTGGTACCGGGACACGGGGGTGTTGACAGCGTGAATCCTTTCAATGCCAAACACAATAATGATTACAGTGCTTGTGAGTGCAGATCGCTATTGTAAGTTATGCATTCCCCCGGTCAGGTATTGTAACTTTTTACTCGCAACTAAAGAGTTATACACCCCTTACAATACGGATTACACACACAACCCGGGGGGTAAAAGGCACCCGCTTGGGGAGAGCTGCATGGTAGCAGTCAAAACTGGAAACTGGTCAAGCGGATACAGGGTTGTGTGTGTAGTCAGTCAAATCTTATCAGAGGGGAGGACGTGGAGGAAGAGGAAACAAAAGAGGAAGGTAATTAAGGGAAGGGAGGGAGGGGGAGAGTAGCCATTTCTGAGATCAAGCCCCCCCCCATTGCAGTTGCAGTGATCAGCGGCTGAAGTAAGGTAGGACAGCAGCAGCTAATTAAAATGATTAAATTTAGCATTGACAGTGTCCGGTATAGAGCACTTTGGGTTCACCAGCAGAGATAGTTGGCTTGCCCCCCCTGGCTGGTCTTGGCAGGAATATGAGTCTTGCCATCCCTCACTACCGTTGTCACCTGAATAAAACGCCTGGTCATTATCGCTGAATCTGGACCGAAAGTTGTGCCAAATACAGCTAAAATGACTGGGCGTTGTATTCGGGTGAAGACGGTAGGGATTAGGAGCCTGGGTACTTCTCCCCGCACAGAGTAGTGCTTGCTAGTAATGTCCTGATGAGTGCCCAGATGATCGTTCAGTGTCCCAATGGTCTGAAGGGCAAAAAAAAAAAAAAAAAGAGCGAAAAAAAAGCGAGTATTGAGCAAAGAAGAGCAGAAGTCCCGTCAGGTACAACGGGAAGAACGTGGCACTTCAGAGGAAAGGGACGCACACAGGAACGTGATACAAAGGGGGAGAAGCAGATACAGAGAACTTACCCAGCTTTCCAAGGACGGGGCTCAGCACCTTGATTCCTGCCAACGGAACTAGATGAATGGCCCCCTGATCCTGTTTCAGTGAGAAATCAGAGTCATTTGCCTCATGATGGGACTGTAGCTTGTCCCAGTCATAATTGCGCGTCTTCAAGCCGAGCGATACCGTGAGAGGAATCCAGCGCCATTTCCAGCGGGCATCATCACCTGCAATCAGGATCCCATAGCACATGGAGGTGCAAGAGAGACACGTTTGCTTTTGCCACCGACACTTTCAAACGAAATCCAAAACTACCACAGCAAAGCTCCCAGGGAGGGGAAGCAGTTCAAAGTTCAAACCACAGACGGACCCATTTTGTCCATGCAATCACCCCTGCTCGATCGCCGCATCACCACACACACACACACACACACACACACACATACACACACACACACACACACACCACACATACATACACACACACACACACACACACACCACACACACACACGCACAGGCGGACGCATAGACATACGAACTGTCTGTGGAATCACTCCCACAAGATCACAACATCACCACACACACACACAGAGCACACATGGATGGGGTGCAACATACACACATGTGAGCTATGGAGCAACTAGGAAGGAACCGGTACATCACCAAGTGAGAGAAACACTGAACTTGCACAAATGTATCTACACCATACACACATGTGAGCTATGGAGCAGCTAGGACGGAACCATCACATCACCAAGAGAGGAAAGACTGAACTTGCACAAGTGAGAGTGCAGCATACACACATGTGAGCTATGGAGCAACTAGGAAGGAACTGGCACATCACCAAGTGAGGAAAGACCGAACTTGCACAAGTGAGAGTGCAACATACACACATGTGAGTTATTGAGCAACTAGGAAGGAATTGGTACATCACCAAGTGAGAGAAAGACTGAACTTGCACAAATGAATCTACAGCATACACACATATGAGCTATGGAGCAACTAGGAAGGAACCGACACATCACCAAGTGAGGAAAAACAGAACTTGCACAAGTGAGTGTAGCATACACACATGTGAGATACCGAGCAACTAGGAAGGAATCGGTACCTCACCAAGTAAGAGAAAGACTGAACTTGCACAAATGAATCTACAACATACACGTATGTGAGCTATGGAGCAACTAAGAAGGAATCGGCACATCACCAAGTGAGGAAAGGCATAACTTGCACAAGTGAGAGTGCAACATATACACATGTGAGCTATGGAGCAACTAGGAAAGAACCGATACATCACCAAGTGAGAGAAAGAGTGCTGCAGGTGAGTGAGACTTGCTCAAACACCTGCATAGCACTCATGGAAGCATCCAGCCTTGAATCGGATCATTACAAGGTGGAGAAATGAACAATGTGAGGGCTAGGATCACCAAAGTGCCTTCATGAGTGAAAATCAAAGTAACAATTTACCCCCAAGTGGGAGGCAGAGAGAGATCTTGAGGTGAGATAGTAAATCTCTCCCTCAAGCCATGAATCTCATAGCCCAAAGTGGCGATTAGCCAGGGAGTGGGGGAAATGACCATCATGGAGACACCAATAATGGAGGAGCTACTTTCTATCTCTTCCCTGAAGAAGAAGTAGAAGATGATGAGGAAGAAGGAGAGGGGGAGGAGAAGGATGAAGAGGAAAGACTAAAGAAGAAAAGGAGAGACGAAGAAGAAGAAGAAGAAGAAGAAGAAGAAGAAGAAGAAGAGAGGATAAAAAGAAGAAGAAGAAGAAGAAAAAGAAGAAGAAGTTTCTCCTCCTTGTTCCCACTCACCTCTCCTTTCTTCACTTGGTGTTGAAGACCAGTCTTGATGAAGATCCTTCCTCCTCTGCACATGTCTCACTTAGCTATGGCTCTCTTCTTCCTCAAGCCCTCATCTCCGTCCTCTTTCAACCTCTCCCTGTCTATGGCAAGCTCCAACTACCAAGGCTACGGAGTCCTCCCCTCTAAGAGGGTTGAATGGGCTCCTCCAAGCCTCTCTCTCTCCCCCACAGCCTCGGGGCTATGGCGGAGCACCTCCTAGGGCCACCACCACTCTCACTAGCTCCAATGGCTGTCATCACTAGCCTACAACCTCCTCCAAGTCTCCCAACTGACAGCGGTTCCCCTCCTCTCACTCCAAGTGAGTAGAGTGTTCCTATGAGCTCACTTGCGCAGCATGGACACTCCTCATGCAATTGTGAGTGTGGCGGACTGCTCCCTCAGCTTATGTAGGCTGAAACTGGTGAACCGGCCAGCCCATGGGCCTCCCCATTTGCCTCCAAGTGAACCGAGGTACCCCCAAGGCCAAATTCCACCACTAGGCCTCTCCGCACGTACCTGGGCCCTTTGGCCAAGTACATGCAATCTGAGTCGTTGGCACCAACTCGGACTGCCTCTTAGCCTCAAGCCTCCTTTTCCTCTTCAAATCCTGCCCCCTTGAGTCTAAATGCCAAAGGGGCAGCCTCACTTGAAAGAAAAATACCTTATGGGCATTTTTTTCACTTTTTGTTATTTCTACCCCATTTTGGGTAGGCCGAGATATTTTCTCACATGTTGGAGCAATCTCAGCCTTGGATTTGGCTGAGATCCAAGGCCAACATTATTCCGAGTTACCCCCAAGTGGTCCTTGCTTCAATTTTGAGCCCCTAGACTTACTTTTTCAATTTTTGGTGCATCTGTTTTTTTCTTGGGCCAAATGCACAGTTTCGATTTTTTCCTTCTTTTGTTTCTTTCCATTTTGGGCTGCCAACTCATTCCAGAGTTGGCCGTTTGAGCTGGCCCCACAAAAAATGGCCATATGCTCTCAACCATGAGATTTGATCTAGATCCATGACTCACAAAAAAAACGGCGAACTCCTTTTTGCTTTTTTACTTATTTTTGCCCTTTTAAATCCAGATATTGCTGAGATAATACCCCAAGGGCATTATCTCTGCAATCCGGATTGCCCTCCACAAAATCAGGAGGGATGAGGTCACAGTAGCGACTTGTCAGTCCCTACTGTGTCAGTCTCAACTGACCGGCACATTCTCCTCCACTCTTTTTTCCCCTTTTGTCTTATCCTCCCTCCTTTTTCTCCCATTTCTCTCTTTTTCTTTTATTTCTGTCGTGACAAGTGTTAAGCTGTTGTGCACCCTCTTTCTAGGCTTTAGAACCTCATTCATGGCCAGATTTATGGCCAGCAGTTGGTCGTTGCAACTCGGATTGCCGTAACGGAGCCCCCATGCTCATGGCAGCTAATTTTCTGCATAGAGCCCATTGAGGCTCTATTTTCTCGTGCCTTGTTAGTCTGAGATATCTCGGACTGCTGGGCAGTCCCTTCTTTACCTCCTCTCTCTCATTTTTGTCTCCTAGCACCCTCTCCCTAGGCTCTTTCAGTTTTGCACTCTCAGTGACTAATATTTTCCACCGTCAAGATTTTGATCTTAACGGCGCTACTTGCTTGCACACTCCTCACCTTTGTAAGCTCATGGTTCCCTCGGGGTCACTCAAGTCCCCGCTATTCTCCCATTCCAGTTCCATGTTTTTGTCCCGGCGGTGGTCCCGCCGGCGCATGTCCTAAGTTTCAACCATTTTTATTTAGGCCCATCTAGTCCCCGACATCATTCCTGATGACGTCCAATTTTTATTTGGGGCTCCTTTATCTTCGGCAGCCCACTCCCTTCCTCTCATGGGCTTCAAGTGCGACGAATATTCTAGGCCACGAGATCCACCTCTCGCGGCCCTTATTTACCGTTTTTATTTGCCCAAGGCCAAGGCACTCTTGTCCAGTGTCTTGGGTGAGCCAAGGCCCTTTTTCTTTTGGCCTAAGCACCCCTATGCAGTCCGTTATTTCTCGGATTGCTATAATGGCATTTTTCCGAGCCTCATAGCCCCACAACATCCCTTAAACTGAAAAAATACAACGGTCATCTCCCAAGTGCATCCGGATTCAGTATTGGCTCCGGATGCATCTAAAATATGTATTTTTCCTCCCCCATGCAATCCGTTGTATCTCGGTTGCATGGGGCCTTGATTTTTCTTGATTTCTCTGCAAATTCAAAAGAAAATCAAGATCCTTTACAACCGCCATATCCCATAATGTATCTGGTCACGAATGTATCTCCCCAAGTAGCCGTTTTTTATCGAAGGTTTTTTTCTCTTTTCTTTTCTTTTCCTCAATTTTTGGACAGTAGGGACCTGCCAATCCCTACTTGTGTCAGTCCCTACTAACGGTCAACTCACTCACTCTGTCTCACTCCTCTTGTCTTACTCTCTCACCTTTTTCTTTTCATTTTCTTCCTTTTTCTAGCATGCCAAGTGTCAACTAGCCGTTAAGGCCTTTTCTAGGCCCCTTTCTCCTTGTTTTGGCCCTTCCTATGCCCAAGGTGCAGTCCGTTATTTCTCAGACTACACTTGAGGCTTCCTCATGCCCATGGGAACCTCCTTTTGCCTCTCTCCTTCAAACAGTGGCCCCTTTTGCTCCGATTTTCTCCCGAGAGCCTATTTTTTACATGGAGCCTCTCTAGGCTTCATTTTCCTCACGATGGCTAGTCCGAGATATTTCGGACTGCTGCCATGCCTCTTTCCTTGTTTTTCTATTGCTTTCCTTTCTGTTTTGGCCCTTCCATTTGCCTCCACTGGTGCTTGCACTAGTGGTGCTAATATTCTTGGTCGTCTAGATCTTGATCTTGACGGCACTACTTGCCTTAGGCATATTTTTCAAATGACCCTTCATAACTTTACCTTGGGTCATCACAAGTCCCCGCCACTTGTCCCGTGCTAGTCCTCAACACTTGTTTTCGACACTTGTCCCGCCGATGGTCCCACGAGCACTTGTCCTGCTGGTGGTCGCGTCGGTACTTGACCCTAAAATGTCATTATCTGTGCTTAGTCTCATATGGTCCCCAACACTTTTTCTTGTGGTCTTCCAGTCTCTCTTCGCAATTTCCGCCCCATGGCTGCCCCATTTCTAGCCTTTTTCTATGTCCGGTGCACGCGGGTCTTTCCGGTCGCGGATCTTCACTTGGCTCATGGCCCGTTGACCCTTCTTATGCCGCACTTCGGTGGCCCCCTTAAATCCGTGCTTCGTTCTCACGTGTCGGTGGCCCAACACTATTTTATTGACCTCCTTGACTCCTTTCTTCCTGCGGCGCGCAGCCAGGGCATTATTTTTCCTGGCGGTCCTCCTTTCGGGAAGAAGGGTCGCCTTTATTATTCTCTTG